GGAGAAAGGTTAGGAGTCCCAGTATATGATGAGTTAGGACGCTCAAAGCGAGAAATACGGGGATTAGCTGTAGGTAACTGGAAAGATGATGAATGGCCTCCAGAACGTATTATTCAAGTATATGGTCCAGCTACCTGGGCAGCTGATGGTACATATGGTTATAGAACCCCCATTTATATGCTAAATCGAATAATTAGACTACAAGCGGTTTTAGAAATCATAACTAATGAAACTTCCCTGGCTCTGTCTGTATTAGCCGAAACCAACACACAACTTCGCACTGCTGTTTACCAGAACCGACTTGCCTTAGATTTCTTATTAGCAACTGAAGGAGGAGTTTGTGGAAAGTTTAACCTTTCAAATTGTTGTTTACAGATTGATGACAATGGTAAAGCTATTGAACAGATTACAGAACATATGCGTAATTTAGCCCATGTCCCAGTCCAAACCTGGACAGGAATAGATACTGAAGATTGGTTCGGAAACATACTTGGAGATTGGAAACGTATATTGTTCTTAATAGCTTTAGCCTTTGGTGGTTTGTTACTTCTCCCTTGTTTGATACCTTTGGTTAAGAATGTAGCTACCAAAACAGTTAATGCAATGTTAGCTCACAATGATACTGTTAAACTTTTATATTTGGTTACTGCTAAAAGGAACAGGTTGAACACTAATGCATAAATTCTTCCACAGGTTAAAGAAGAAAAGTACTGTTAGTTACTGTATACTCTCCGGACAAGGAATAATTGCTGTGTCATGTTATTGGTCGGTCTCTCTCTCTGTCCCAGAGAAAGGACCGACAGGGGGGAATGAAGTAGGCATTTATTATTCCTTGCCCATATAAGGGGATAGTTGCTGTTCATGTTCCAGTCATAAGGGGGCAGAAGTGAGCTTGTTTGGTTTGGGCGGGAAAAGTAAGCCTAGTCAATGGAAAATTCCACTCTGGTGATGTAAATGATGACGTGTAACCTTGTTGCAGTATAAAAGCCTGGAGCCTGCATTGCTCTGGGTTCAGTCTGTTTAAAGCGTGCTTCGCTGACTGAACCGGCGCCAATAAAGTTCTTCTCCTTCTGTTGATCTGGTGGTCTGTGCTTGGGCTTAGGCCCCTTTCTCCGTGCTACAGCGTCTCATTCCCCCTGCAGCCTACCCTCCCTCCCTCCCTCCCTCCCTCCCTCCTCCCTCTGTCTTCTTTCTTCAGCAGTCAACACTTTATCCCCCCCCCCCAATATTCCTTCTCTATTCCTTCCAATTTCTCCCTCTACTGGATGCACTCCAGCAAGGTGGAGGGACGGTTCCAGGCAACATGCTCAGCAAAATGACTGGCTGCCCCAGACGCCAGTCAGCACGAGCAGCCCGTCCTCAGTACTTTATCCCCCCCCCCCAACATTCCTTCTCTATTCCTTCCAATTTCTCCCTCTACTGGATGCACTCCAGCAAGGTGGAGGGACGGTTCCAGGCAACATGCTCAGCAAAATGACTGGCTGCCCCAGACGCCAGTCAGCACGAGCAGCCCGTCCTCAGTAGCTGGGTCTGAAACTCCGCTGTGCCTGGCTGGGACCCCTCCTGAGGATTTCTGGTACCCGACCCATAGAAGCAGGAGGAGGAGGAAAGGAGGAGGAGGAGATTGGATTCATACCCCCGTCCTTCACTCGGAGTCTCAGAGTGGCTTCCAAACTCCTTCCCCTTCCCCTCCCCACACCCTGGGACGGGGAGGTGGGTGGGGCTGACAGAGCTCTTCCCAGAACTGTCCTTGAGAGAACAGCTCTGAGAGAACTTCTGACTGACCCAAGGTCACACCAGCAGCTGCATGTGGAGAAGTGGGGAATCAAGCCGGCTCTCCCAGATTAGAGTCCGTGCACTTAACCACTGCACCAGAGCTTACAGTGGACCAGATTACTGCCTCGGCGGTGCCATGGTCAGACAACCATGCCCTGAAGGCCCGTGTGAATGTGTCCCTCCAACCACGTTTGGGCGGTGAGCGTATTTTGGCTCACCTGTGGAGCCAAATGGACTCTCAGTGATTCCAGATGGCTCTGCGGGATCCCATGCCCCCTGGTGGCTCATTAGATGAGCGTGTCGAGGACTGGCTCTCGGCAGCCATCGAAGAGATTGCCCGCCCCCCCCAAAGCCCTCTGTGCCCTCGCTCTAAGCGGGCTCCTTGTTTTACTGAGGAGCTGCAGCAAATGAAACGAGGGCTCAGATGACCAGAGAGATGGTGGCGGTGCGCCTGCGACAAAGCATCAGGAGCATCATATAGGAAGTTTATGAGATCCTATGAGATGGCAGTCAAAGCCACGAAGAGACAATTCTATGCGGCTGCCTGGCCCTCCAGTCCGGCCTGGTTCCCTCGTGCCAAAGCCGCTGCCTCTCCCCTAGCAAAAGGCTCTGCAGAAGTAGGCTGAGGCCTGTGGAGGTGCAATGCAGCCTGCGGGTTTGGTTCCTGTGTTTCCGCACAGGACCGCCCCTGGGTGGAATCCAACTCTGTGCTGCATCGTGCTGGCCCCCTTTAGCGGCCCCATAACCTCCCTCCCCTTGGGGGGGTTCCGTTTCCCTCCCCTGCCCCACACGCCTAGTCCAGACCATTAAAGACCATGTCGGCCAGCCCACAGGCTATGGCCAGCGGCCCACCTTGTTGCGTGGAAGGCCGGGAGCCCCCTGCAGGCGCCCCGGGAGCTGTGGGTGAGAGCTGAAGGAGGCCCCCTTTGTGGCAGATACACCTGGGCCAGGGGGAGGGGTGAAGCGGGAGGAAGGCCGGCCGTCCAGCATGGGGGGGGCTGGAGCAAGACCGGGGCAGCTGGTTGGGGGGCAGGCACTCCAGAGGACTGACGGGAGACCTGCATGGAGGTCGCCCTAAAACTGCCAAGAGCAGGAAGCTAGTTTAACCGAGCTTGTTTTCCATTCACAGCACGTGCTTCCCCCCAGCCGGACTTCAGCGGCAAAGTCTTCCAGGCCCGCCATACTTGTGGGGCCTCTTGGCCAGCGAGGCACTGGAATGGCTGCCTTGAGACTCCCATGTGCTGACAGAGCCTGGAGAGTTGGGGCCCCCCTAGCCAGCGCTTTCTGGCCGGAGGATCAAGGCAGTTTCTGGGGGGCCGAAGTGTTGGAGTTTCAAGTTGCTTACACTTCAGCCAATACAGAGTTAAATGTTGTTTGTTGGCAAACAGGATGTTACGTTACATAATGTATTCTACGGAGGGAAAGTTTGTGGGAGTTGTTTACCCTAATGAAGTGACCTGTAACCTTTGTATTGGTCAACTAACAACTTGTTTGTGGAAATGCTTTGATCTAGCATTCATGTATTCACAAGGTTTATGGCTCTTTGTGTGAACCAGAGAGGAAGCTCTCCTCTAGAAGCCGACACAGATAGAAAGATGTAGCTTTTAGCATAGTAGTACTGAGAGTAACTGCAAGTATGTAACCTTTTATTTTATTTCTTTTATCCAAAGTACCTTACCCATGTTTTATTTTGTTTTGTAGTAAATATATTTTTCTTTTACTAATGTGGCTCTTGTGTTTGCAATACGACCATCGATCTTGAATCTCAGAATCCCAACACAAAGGGGCAGCACTTGGCTCCAGGGGCAATCCAGCGTCAGTTGCCTCTAGTTCAGTGTGAACCTGAAAGTACTAGTTGGGGGCCCAGGGGAGTCCCAAGTACGCAAGCCAAGCGCGCCCTGGGGGGCAAAGGAACTTAGACGTGGTAGGGAGGCCTGTGGAGGGGCCTGAGCCACTGTGGCCACGGGAGACACATTTCCCACTGGGTCCTCAGCGGAGGCTGCCTCCCCTTCCCAAGGCGCCCTGCTTCAGTGACAGCGGTCCTGGATCTCTAGCCCCCTGAATGGACCCTTGTCCCTCTCTGGCTTCCGCCATCCAGGGGTTGCCGAGCAGTTTGCCCTCAGAGAAGCGACGATGAGCGGCCTGGCCCCGGCTGGAGGCGGAAGAGCTGGACTTTCGCGGGCCCTTGCGGGAACTCCCTCCGGCTTCAAGGTAGCCCTTCCCCCGTCCGCCCAACTTCCATCTTCTCTTTGTTTATCCAGGGATTGAAAGGGGGGGGGAGCTGGAAGGGGGGGCTTGCCAGGGAAGCTTTGCTGTGAACCTCCCGGCGTTTTCTCCTGCCAGCCTCGAGTCGTCCCCCCCCCCCCGCATTCTTCATGGAGACCCGAGGATGGGGAACTTGGCAGAGGCGCTGCCCGTGGAAGGGGGGCGGGAGAACCCACCCAGCACCCAGCGGCTGCAGCGAAGAACCCCTTCGCTCAACCTGGGCAGCAGCTCCTCTTTGGAGGATGAGGTCCTTTACCACTAGAGGGAGCCCTAAGCCATGGCCAGGAGTCAGTCCCAGGCTCAGAGGCCTGTCGCGGGATTTGGGAAGCATTCCTTCCCCCCTTTATTCTCTCCTCACAGCAACCCTGTGGGGTAGGTTATGCTGAGAGTGGGTGCCTGGCCGGAGGTCTTCGGGTGAGCTTCTGTAGTAGTAGAGTGGGGATGATGCAGACCTGGGATCTCTGCACCACACACTGGCTTTCTGCAGTGCGCTGCGCCTGTGCATCCAGAGCGAGGCCTTTCTAGGGGTCAGGGTCCCACTGCAGTCCGTGTCGGCACAGCCAGCTGGCATCCTCAGTTGCCCGTGAGGGAGCGCAGTGCCCCCCTCCTGCCTCAAGCCTCGTGGCCAGCAGTGGCTCTCGGTTTGGTGCTGTGGGTGACTCGACAGGCGAGTTGTCGTGGCTCTGATCTGTCACAGCTCCCAGGTCTTTGCCGTGAGCGCTTGCCGGGGGCTGGGGACTGGCGTTGCAGGTGAGATGCAGTGGGTATGGGTGCCTGTCCACCCCACTCCACAGGCAACATAGACAGCTGTCAGTAAAGAAATATCACACGACAGATATCGTTTAAAGTTTATTCCAGTGCTTTTGTGTGAACATTATTATAATAATTCGTATGCATAACTGAAAAGGTAATCCTGGCCTGAGGACCTCACAATCTAAAATTTGACACGGTGGGGGGAGGGGGGAAGAGGAGGAGGGGGAGGGGGCAGAGTTGCCGGGAGAAAGCAGGCCTGGCCCCAGCAGGTGGCCCTGGGGGGGGGGCAGGGAGGCTCTAGGCGTCCAGGAACACCTGAGAGGCCAAGGAGACCTTTGCGGTGTGAGTCAGACTCGAATGGGACTCCCTGCCCTCGGCCGTGGGGAGGGAGAGAGAGAGACGGAAGGAAGGCGAGTCCTCAGCTTCCACGATGTGTTTCCTGCGTCTGTTGTCGGTGGCAGGGCTGGGGGCCCCTGGCCGGGAGTCTCTTCCTTATTTTGGGGCTTTGGGGTTTGCCAGGTCTTCGATGGCTTTCCTGATCTGAGGAGAAAGAGGCCCAGGGAGGCGTTGAGGCAGGCCGGAGTCTGGCTCCTGGGGGCTTTAAAGGGTCAGTGAGCGGTGATGTCACGCGGGCCCAGGAAGGGTCAGATTCCTCAGGGCAGAGATGTGGAGAGAGCTGTCGCAGCAGCGGGGCCTGGGTAGGCTTGTGCAGCCAGCCTGCAGGGCACTTTGAGGAGGAGGAACCCACCCGGGCGGGGACACCCTCCCCCTCCCCCTCCCCGCCTGGGCCCGGTACCTCGCTCCTGGAGACAACCCCCACTGTCTTTCCGAGCTGGGTGACAAATGCCCGCTGCAAATTCAGCAACTCAAAAAGGTTGTGTGCCTGTTGAGAGAGAGAGAGAGAGAGAGAGAGAGAGAAACAACGGGGGACAATGACAAAAGGAGAGGGTCAGAGGATCCCTAAGCCGTCCAGAGTCCCAAAGGGGCCCGTCCCCTTCGACCAGGCCTCAGCTGAAGCAAAAGTGCTGAAGGAAAGATGGAATGGAAGCAGCAGGACTCATCCTGTCCCGCCTTCTCTTGGCACCGGTTGCCCTGCGAGGTGTGCAGAAGGCCCCTGCCTGGCGACAGCCCTCTCAGACCTGCTTCCTCCTCCTGTGTGTAAGAAGTGCAGAAGTGGGTGCACCCCCGCCCCCCGCCCCCCGCCCAGGCTCTTCTGAGCTTGGAGTGGCCACGGAGCGTGGGACTGTCCCCCGGGGGAGACCGACAGGCCGCTCGCTGGGAAAGGGCACGTAGAGGACTGCTTAGGGGTGTCCTGTTGTTTCAGTTCTCCCCCCCCCCCTTTTCTTTTGCTCATCCGGAGAGGTCCCTGCAGGCCTCCGGTGGGTTATGGGGGAGGAGGGGGAGTGGAGGGGGTGGGCGATGCTCAGATTCACCTGGTGGAGGGACGTCCAAGGTGACAGTTGCAGAGTGACCGGATGGACCGTGCAGCCTGTGCCCAAGGTCTGGTGGGGCCGCGTCTGTGCAAGAGAACGTTGCGTGAAGGAGGGGGGGCTGGAGCCCAGGGCTAGCGGCGGGAGGGAGGCCGGGATTCCCTCCCGGGAGGACTGCTGGGGGGGCAGAGGGGCCTGGGGAGGGGGTGCCTCTCTCCCAGGCAGAAGCCATCCCTGGAACAGCGGGGAGTGTGGGGAGTGGACCCACCTCCTCCTCCTTCTTCGGGGGCCGGCTGCTGCTGCCACTGCTGCTCTCCTCCTCCTCCTCCTCCTCCTCCTCGCTGGTCTGGAGGAGCTGGATGAGTTCCGATCTCTGCACCGTTCCCACCAGCATCCGTGTTTCTGCAGGAGGAGGGGAGGCGGCTGGCTGTGGGGGGGCTGGAAGCCCTCCTGTTCCCAGCCCCCCCCCTCGGTCCCTGGGGCAGCAGCCCGCCCTCTGTGGCCTCCTGAGCGTGGGGTGGGTGAGCCGCAAGAGCGAACGTGGGGTCCGTTCCCAGGGTCCGCACGTGCCTCTCTTGTAGGACTGGCTCTCTTGATGTGGGCAGAAACCCTCGTGCTGATTCAGCAAGGACGCTCCAAGCTCTGGCTCAGGGCAGGCCTGGCTCAGAGGGGCTTCCTGCCAGCCCCCCCCCCCCTCGGTTTGGCGTTACTGACCCCGGGAATCTGCGCCGCTGCCAGGATCCAGGGGCGGGGCAGCGTTCAGATCCCGCCTACCCGTGTTGTCAATCACTGGATACTCCAGGTCTTCCGTGGAGGTGACTGCTCTGAGGATCTCTGGGAAGGTGGCATCCGTGGGCAGGGCAAGGAATTCCGTGCTCATGAACTCTTGCGTAGTGACCTTGTAGGAGCTGGGGGGCGGAGAGAGCAGGTTTAGCTGCTGCTCTAGGGAGAAAGAGTAGCCGTAGCCGCTTCCGCCCCCCCCCCAGAGACCTTGGATCCCGACCAAAGGAAACCTCCCAGGAAGGAAAGGGGGGGGGGAGGCGGCTACACGGGGCAGTGGTTTGACATAGGTTCTGTAGGCTTGTTGGTTCTGTTTGCATTTTGAGGCTTTTGGCCAGTGGTTAATTCTTCTTGTTTGTTTGTGTACTTGTATCTTTGCTGTGGAGAAAACATGGATTCCTCCCCCCCCCCCCCCCCCCCGCCAAGGGAGGCACACCCTTCGCATTGATCTCACGCCTAAGGACCCAAGCCAGGGAAGCCACAAACGAAAGGCAAAAGCTTTCCTTGGGAAAGGAGACTGTCTGCCCAAGGAAGTGAGTGGAAGGGGGGACAGGCTCCGGCAAAACAGGTGTGTGAATTCACGCAGAGGCCTCCAGGAGTGGACTGCTCAGAGCATCAAGACAAAGAACACACCGGGAGGCCAGCCAGAGAAGCCGCTGAGCCTGTTGTACGGTGCCAGAGAACCATTCTGCACCAAGCCAGAACGGCTCTGTGCATGTGCAGAGTGGCCGGCCCTCAGCTGCTGAGTAGTGGTCACAGCCCGCTGCGTCTCCCCGGCCTGGGAGTTCCGGGCAGGGCCGGCGGCGGCTCACCCCATGTGTCTGCTCCGGATGCGGGGGAGGTAGGGCAGCTTCTTGACGATGATGGTGCCGTCGTAGAAGGAGGGCTGGGACTTCTGGGCGATGGCGTTTGCGATGAGCACTGCCAGGAGGACGGGCAGGATGTGGGCGATCTGCCCCGTCATCTCGAAGGCCAGCAAAGCCGTGGAGAGGGTGTGGGTGACCGCGCCGGAGAAAGCAGCTGCCCCTGTGGGAAAGGCCGAAATGGCTCCTGCCGGCGGGCTCAAGCCGCAAAGGGGTCGGCCCCTGCAGCAGCAGCAGCAGCCGCAGCAGCAGCAAGAGGGCGCAGCCACCCCTCCTCACCCGTCCGTCAGTGCCCAAGGTTGTCCCGGGGAGCGGTGGTCTAGTGAGGACGCTCCGGACTCCCTTGTGCCCAGGAAGACGGGCTAACTGCGGGGGCTGTTCCGAAGCCTGTGGGGCCACAGGGGCTTGACTCTGCCGTGCAGCAGACCCAGGGGGCCCGCGGAGTCTCTCCGGCGTCCCCCACCCCACCCCGGCCACTCCTGACGCACCTGCTAGCGCGTACCCTCCGGGGTTGATGAGGCTCGTGGCTCCCTCCGAGGTGATGCCCCTGGGGAAGAGGAAGGCCGTGGCCTCTCCCACCAGGCGGCCGAGGGCAGCGCCTGCGGGGGGACAAGGAGTCAGGCGCTCCTGAAGGGCGCTCCCGCACCGTTGCTGCTCCCCACTGGTGTCTCCCTGCTGCTCTGGTGGCTGCCCACCCGCGGCATAACCCACCCAGTGTGTAGGGGGTGTTGGGGGCACGCACCATAGATGAAGATGGGCATGAAATATCCGGCTGGCATGGGCATGGTGGTAGCCAGGATCAGCATCCAGAACTGTTAAGATCAAGGAGAGCGAGAGCGACGGTGGTCTGCGGGCGTCAAGGCTCTGGGACTCCGCTCCCGACGAGGCAGAATTCGCACGGGCATCCGAGTGGCTGAGAGGGAAGGGGCCCACGGCTGGCAAAGGGAAGCAGGAGGAGGCTTTGCCTGCCCCCCCCCCCCCCCCAGGGCAGAAAGCTCACGTGAGGCTCAGGAAGAGAAGAAGTGGGAAGCCCCCCCAGTGTGCCAAATGGGGGGGGGAAGGCCTGGAAGAGAGACGGCGACTGGTGTGGAGGGGGGGGGGGGAGATGTCAGCAGGGGCCTCCAGGAGAGGAGAGGTCGTTTGAGGGCTGGATGAAGGCGCTGAGGGCGGGGATTTGCATTTCGGGGCTTGGCGCAGAATCACCAGCCAAACAGAACACAGACTCCTCCGCTGCTTTTCCCTTTGCAGGCAAAGCCACGGCTAATAATTCTACTGTTTTGTAAGTGTGAAGAAATTCCACGACAAGAAGACGAAGTAAAATCGTCAGAGGGGTTCTGCCTACTCAGACCCATGCCCACGCCACGCAAGAGGTTATAGCTAACATTAACGACACATTCTCGGGGCCTGCCACAGAAAGGACGGGAAGTAGTCCGGAAGCCAGGGGAAAGGGAGGCAACGTAAAGGGACCAGATCCTTCGGAAGCCATGAGGATAGTGGCCATTCGTGTGGATGAACGGTCTCGCGCCGCGGCTGCATTTTGTGTTTAAATCAGAAAAGCACCCGAGGCCGGTGGGAACTACCATAAGAACATAAGAACATAAGAGACGCCAATGTTGGATCAGGCCAAAGGCCCATCCAGTCCAACACTCTGTGTCACACAGTGGCCAGAAATACCAGGGGCCATCAGGAGGTCCACCAGTGGGGCCAGGACACTAGAAGCCCTCCCACTGTGGTCCCCCAAGCACCAAGAAGACAGAGCATCACTTGCCCCAGAGCCCCTAGCTATACCTTGTGGCTAATAGCCACTGATGGACCTCTGCTCCATATGCTTATCTAATTCCCTTTTGAAGCCGTCCATGCTTGTAGCACCCACCACTTCCTGTGGCAGTGAATTCCATGTGTTAATCACTCTTTGGGTGAAGAAGTACTTCCTTTTATCCGTTCTAACCCGACCGCTCAGCAATTTCATGGAGTGCCCACGGGTTCTTGTATTGTGAGAAAGGGAGAAAAGTACCTCTTTCTTTACCTGCTCTTTCCCATGCATAATCTTATAAACCTCGATCATGTCACCCCTTAGTCGTCTTTTCTCCAAGCTAAAGAGCCCTAAGCGCTTTAACCTTTCCTCATAGGGAAAGTGTTCCAACCCTTTTATCATTCGAGTTGCCCTTTTCTGCACTTTTTCCAAAGCTATAATATCTTTTTTAAGGTGTGGTGCCCAGAACTGCACACAGTATTCCAAATGAGGTCTCACCATTGATTTATATAGGGGCATTATTATATTGGCTGATCTGTTTTCAATACCCTTCCTAATAATCCCCAGCATAGCACTGGGTGGCTGAAGCCCCGACAGACACTCCAGGCTCCCTGGTGCAGACCCAGGGAAGCCATAGCCTCGTCTGTGGTGGCGTCAAGCAGTCCCAAGAAGGAGGAGACTTCCCGGAGTGGAGAGACGGGGTACCTTCATCACCAGGAAGACCACCAGGCAGCCGAAGACCGTGATGTTTGGATCCCACCACTCCAGCCAGAGGTCGCGGGGATCGACGTGAAGAGGCCTGTCGAGGGATGCGTTGTGGGAAAGGATGCCCCAGGTGCGGTTGTCGAGGAGAGAGGTCAGGAGCTCCTTCATGCTCAGCTGTGAAGGAGGAGACCCGTCACCTCCGGCGGCAGCAGCAAGAGGTGCGTGTGCGGAACCCGCTCCCCGCAGGGGGTTCCCGCTTGCCACGAGAGCCGCCAGGATCAGGCCCAGCTGGAGGCCTCCCCCTTCATTCTGGGGCCCACAAACGAGGCTCCGGCTCCCCGGAACCCCCACGGCTGCTGGTCGGCGGAGGGAACGATGGGTGGTTGCTCCTGGGTTCTGGAAGTCCGACGACTGGAGGCGACCCGTCCTCCTGTGCCACGCTGTCTGCTTTCCAGCTCCCAGACCTGCTGCTCCCTCCCGTCGACCTGGAGGCCACCTGAGGATGTCCCCTCCGTCCCACCTTTGGGCTCTTCCCTGGCATGGACAGGCACTCTGCCCGTGCTCGAGGTCCCGGGGCCTGGCCCTGATGGCTCAGTGCCTCTCCCCTCGCCCCTGCCTGCCCCCGCCACACCACAGGCCCCGTCAGATCCGATGCTGCCGGCAAGCCAGAGCCGCCATTTACCCTGGAAGCCATGAGCCGCCCCAGGCCCAGGGGGAAGGTGACGGAGGAGAGCAGGAGAGCCACCAGGGCGGAGTAGAGAGGCTTCCTGGGGAAGGAGGAGGGGGGAGGGGGGGAGTCAGGGCTGTTTCTCCGGAGCAGGAAAGGATGCCGGTCCCAAAGGTCGACCCTGTGGGTGGGACTGCAGGCCCCGCAGCACCCGAGGCCAGCTTCCTGCAGCCATCTTGGGCGGGGCCAGGCTTGGTTCAGGGAAGAATCTGCAGGCTTTGGGAGAGACACAGAAATCTGTGAACAGCTCTGTGTTACCTGAAAGCTTGCCTACTATTAAGAACAACGCTGCATGATTTTTTTTGGGGGGGGGAGAAGGGGGTCTTTTAGGGATGTGCACAGCCACGCCCAGAATGCTGACCAGGCCTGATGGCTGCCCCCTAAAGCAAAGTCCAAAATTTTTATCAGGTATAAAATGACTTCTTGGTATGTTCTACTTATTTCTCCTGCGGTCGGCACCCTGCTTCTGCAGCCTGACTGGACTCCCGGAGTGGCCGATCCTTTATTAGCCACCTGTCAACGCGCAGCCAGGTCGGGCAGGCAGGGCGCCACGGACCCGTGAAGGAGGCGCCCGAGAGCCTCTGGGCTCTGCTGCATATGTGCACAGACAGCCCCCTGCGAGGCCTGGGCTCCTCTTCCCTGCTGGCCTCAGCCCTCTTCTGTCCCATGGGGGGACGGGGCTTCCTCTCAGAGGCCTACTCAGCAGCAAGCAGCTTGGCGGTGAAGGAGTTCCTCTTGACGTAGCCCAGGAACCAGCGCTGGCAGAAGAGGTAGGCGCAGCTCACGGCCCCGCAGAGGATGCTGCAGCAGAGAGGAGAAGCTGAAGTGCGCTCCCCCTTGGGTGGCTTCCCCCCACCCCACCCCACCCCAGGGCTGCCCTGGAGGGCCTTGAGGAGCCTCCTGCCCACCCCCCCCCTCACCCCAAGAGCATAAAGAAGAGGGTCTCCGGCAGGTCGAAGGGGAAGTTGATCTTGAAACTGGTCTGGAAGACGGCCGTGATGGTTTCTGGGAGGGGAGAGAGGAGGGCAGGAGAAGGAAGTGGGGGGTGGGCGGGGGGGAGACGCCGCCGCCTCCGGAGCCTCTTGGCCCGTCTCCCCCCTCCCAACTTCCCTTCCACCTCCCTGATTCTCCCCCCCCCACAGGTCTGCCATTACCTGCTTGCGAGCTGAGGCCCCTCCCTTATGCACCCATGGCGCTTTCCCTGAATCCCAGGCCACGCACCCCTCCCCAGCTTGTCTGGAAAGCTTTTGGCAACGCTTGCTAGTTTGTGCTTGCCACGATGGAGAGGCATTTGTTATGCAAGTGGACATTGTTGCCTGGCACAGGAGCTTGTGTTTGCTCTCCAAGCTGGACTGAAATACTCTCTTCCAGCTCAGGGTCAGCTTCAGTCTGTCCCGGCCGCCCTCTTATGTGCCCTTTTTCTTTGTGGCCTCCTCCTCCTCCTCCTCCTCCTGCTGCCGCCTGGCCTTTCATCTCCTACCTTGTTCACTGTTGAAGACGGCCAGGAGGCGGAAGAAGAAGGCCCCGCAGGTGGCGGCAAAGAAGCCCCTCCAGTAGTCCCGGACGGCGAAGTGGGATGCCACCACCTCGATGCTGAACAGGACCCCTGGGGCAGACCAAGTGCTGCATCACCAAAGGGGTGTGTGCGTGTGCGCAGGGGGGGGGCTGCCAGCTAGGCCCTCAGGCTCGCTTGGGGAGGGGGCAGGGCCCAAAGCTGCCCCCCCCCGCCTCAGTCCCCTCCCCTCCCCCTCTTCCGGGCTAATCCTCATCTGGTGGCTTTGAAAAGAAGCAGTTTGTCGGTTGGCTCCTCCTCCTCCTCCTCCGGGACTCCGGGAGGTTCCTGCTTCCCCGAGAGATGCAGCCGCTCCGGTCACCACCACGATGAGGTGCTAGAAGGCCTCTGCTCC